CAGTGCCATTTTTGGGTGGCAGCTGCACCCAGAGCCACCCGAGTTGTACCTGTCACACGCCCCTGTCCCTCCTTCTGCTTGTGGACAGGAGCCTGTGCACGATAGCCAAGCAAGTCCCCACTATCTCCCCTGCCCGTGGGATGCTCATGGACAGGCTGATTTCATGGTTAGTTACTCCAAAACCTGGTTAGGAATGAGATAAATGGTTTGACCTGTTGAACTGGGCACCTCTGAAACCTCACAGATAACCTGGGGGGAACGAGACCCCTGTGGCTGCCAGGCTTTCTTGGGCTCTGGGAATGAAACTGGGGGGGCTGTCTGGCTGTCCTGGACCTGCTGCCCCCAGCACTGTGGGTGGACCTGGGGATCTGCTGGCTCCTCCAGCAGCCTGAGGGATGAGCTGGGACATGTGATCCCTGTGTCTAGCTGGAGCCCCACTGTCAGCCACGGGGCAGTGCCTGTGCTCAGAGATGTTGGCCACCCCATTTCCCACTCACTGAGATGGGGGGAGCTCATGTTTCTGGAGCAGGTTGGAGAAGATGCTCCATAACAAATCTCTGCCCCCTGAACTGCTCCAAGGCTTGTCCTGCATCTGCTGACATCCTGCATCGTGTGCCTGGTGATGGTAGGCTGAGAGCTTTGGGGAGTGTAGAAGAATGTTGCAATTTCATTGCTGTGAAATTCCCTTCAAGCCTTTTAGCTGGGAATGTTGCTTTCTGCCCTTTTGGTTGCCCTCATGCACCTGGAATGGCAGCCCCAGGGTGTGTGATGGTCAGGAATGTGGCTGGAGAGGGCTGCCCTCGTGGGGGTACAGGACTGAGACTCCTGAGAACCCCAGAACTCTCAGTCAAGGGACTGTCCCTCCTCTGTAGGAAAGGCTGGCTGCAACCAGCCAGTTTGGGATGTCAGTGGTGAATTGAGAAGCCTTGGAGCTGACAGCTCCTGTGCCTGTGCTGGAGAACCCCTGGGTTCTCCCTGCTGGCTGCAGGGAGACTTTTGGACACAGTCTGACTTTAGCCCTGGTGTTTGACCACGGCAGCAGGGCCCACCAGCCAAGGGCTGGCTCTGAGTGTCAGGCTGCAAACCCACTGCCTTTGGTTGCTGAGTCTGTCTGTGTGGGAAGGGAGCTGGACCCTAATGTGTGTGTGGCTGAGCATTCCCACCCACCTGCCTCCCAGGAACAGGAGCACCTCCACACCGCAGTGCAGCAAGGCTGGAACTGGAGCCTGCCCTTATCTGGGCCTTGCAACAGATGGTGGGGATCTATAAACTCCTGTGGCTGAGGGGGAGCCTGCTCAGGGGCTGCTGCTCCCAAAGGGTGGGAATGTTCCCCAGTTCTTGGCTGGGCTTTTCTCACTCACATCTTCTGTGTGAAAAACGTGGGAGTGAAGCAGTTGAGTCTGGACTTGATTTGACTGGATCCATCTGTGTTATCTGGGCTAACTGAGAGCAGGACAGGCTTGTTGTGAGCCTGGAGATATGGTGGTATGTCCAGGTAGGAGCAAGAGAGTGGGGGTACATAGGATGCCACTCAGCATCATCAGCCAGGCCAGGGAGGGGCTTGTCCCGCTCTACTCTGCCCTGGGGCGGCCTCCCCTGCAATATTGGGGCAGTCTGGGGGACACAATGGAAGGAAGAGCTGAAGCCATTAGAGAGTGTCCAAAGGAGGCAACGAGGATGGGGAAGGGCCTTGATTTGAAG